AGACTGTTGAAGCTAAGTGTTTCAAAACAGCCATTAAAATTACACATGTGCAGGAGCACCTGTGGTAGGGACCTTGTCCCCGGTTGGGAACAAAAACCCCCACGCCTGCAGAGCCCCCTAAGACGCCTCTCCCTCGGGGGCCTGGGACGCTGTCAGGCACATGGCCCAGAGGAAAGGGAGGACCCAGCCTTGCTGGCAGAGACCGGTTCCCCAGGGGAGGCCACACCGGCACCCTTTGCAGCGTGAAAACCCCCTGGTCAGAATGTGGCCATTCTCTCCTGACCCACACAGTACTCTGATGCTCGCTCTGTGGGTTGTGCTGGGCTGAGTCCCGCCCCTGCCCCATCCAGGCCCCGCCCCCAGCCCAGTCGCTTTCTGAGCTCCTGGGCTCCTTAACGCAGACACATCTGACCCTGCAGACCAAGCCCGTGGACCCAACCGTGGATGGGGGTGCGCAGGTGCAGCAGGTGGTCAACATAGAGTGTGTCTCTGACTTCATGGAGGCGCCGGTCCTCAACATCCAGTTCCGGTGAGGGCCCATGCTGGACCACGTGCAGACACCTGGCTGCAGCTGGCATCCTTCCTGTCATGGGCCCAGGCCTGCAGACGTACACAGGTGCAGCGTTTGCTGCTGCCGCTCTGTGGCCCCTCACAGTGGGGACAGGGAGGGAGGCAGGCCTGGGGCGGTGGCCCTGGGGTTGCCCACTGAGAGACGGGTGGCCCGGCAGCCAGGTCCCCTGAGTCCCCTGCAGGCTTGGCACCCAGAGTTGGCTGTGGGGAGGCGCGGGCTCCCCCAGCCCTGGCCAGTTGTGCTTGGGTCACACACGCCGTGTTGCTGACCTTAAAACCCATGCCTTGTGTGTGAGTGTTCGGTGGCCACGACTGTGTGGATGCAGCCAGCCAGTGCCCTGTTGGGGTCTGCAGCTGACAGTGTTTGGAAAAGCACATTTAAAATATCGGAAACACAGAGAACTTAACTTAAGAGTGTGTACTGAAGAATTTGTGGAAATAGATGTGCAAAGTTTTTTCTTGCTCTAGTCTTTTCATGGGAAAAGTGGCCCATACAGTTTACAGAGCCCGGAGTTCTGGAAGCAGCTGGTGGGAAGGGAGCGTGGAGGGTCCTGCTGGCCGTCCCCAGCTGGGCAGGTGCTTGGCACAGCCCCTGCCTGCCCTTTCCCCTGGGGGGACACTTGTGCTCTGGGGGGGCTCGAGGCTCGGCCCCCTCAAGTGCTCGTGGCGGGTGGGGCCTCACACGTGGCCTCTCCTCCCCCAAAGCTGGGCGAGGAGGAGCCCTGACCATCCTGGCTCTTTCAATGTGCCGCTGCTGCCCGCAGGTATGGAGGCACCTTCCAGAACGTGTCTGTTCAGCTGCCCATCACCCTCAACAAGTTTTTCCAGCCCACAGAAATGGCTTCTCAGGACTTCTTTCAACGCTGGAAGCAGCTGAGCAAGTGAGAGGGCTGTCCCTGCAGGGTGGGGAGTGTCCTGAGAGGGTGGGGGGGGGTCGTGTCCTGTTGGGGCTTAGGGAGGGGTGAGTGGTCTGAGGGGGAGGAGAGATCGTTTGCCGGCGCATGTCCCTGGCTGGAGGGCTTACCGGTCGGCCGTCTCTCCCAGCCCACAGCAGGAAGTGCAGAACATCTTCAAAGCGAAGCATCCCATGGACACAGAGATCACCAAAGCCAAGGTAGGGCTGGCGGGGAGGCCCGGGGCTGCGCTGCCCGCAGCCCTGCTCCGGTGTCCTGAGTCTCCTGGTTTCTCTTGGACAGATTATTGGGTTTGGCTCTGCACTTCTTGAAGAAGTTGATCCCAACCCTGCAAATTTTGTGGGGGCTGGCATCATCCACAGCAAGACCACCCAGATCGGATGCTTGCTGCGCCTGGAGCCGAACCTGCAAGCCCAGGTGGGGCCACCTTGCGGGGGGTGGGGGGAAGGCTTTCGGGCCTAACCTGGGCTCGTTGTGGGCCGCAGACCTGTGGGCTTCAGTCAGTTTTGACTGGCATGTGCGCTTGTCTCGCCAACCCTACAAAGCACTCCACGGTCTGTCACCCCAGGGGCTCCCTCGGGTCCCAGCCTCCCAGAGACTGCTGTGTGGGGCTCAGTCTCACCACGGGGACATGAAGACCTTACTGGCCTCTCGCTCCTGACGTCTGTGTGGCGGTGGTGCCAGTGGCTTCTCTGGTCACTGCGTCATGTGCCTTCTCGCAGGGTCCCATTCTGTTCTAGCAGTGCCTGCCCACGTCCGTTCCCTCGGGGGCACCCAGGCGTGCAGGGCCCAGCCACAGGGCCCTGTGAGATTCACACTGTGGGACGCGGCTACTCTGCTCTCCAGAGCGGCTGCACCAGCTCAACTCCCCCAGGGGTGCAAGGCTCTGGCATGTCCTGTGTGGCCAGCGTGGGTGCAGCGGGGCCCAGAGGGGGGCCCGTCCAGCTGGGGCCTGGCGAGGTGGCCCGCCGACCCTCTGCATGCTCTGTTTCAGATGTACCGGCTCACGCTGCGGACCAGCAAGGAGAGTGTGTCGCAGAGGCTGTGTGAGCTGCTGTCTGAGCAGTTTTAGGTGCAAGGGGAAGGCGGGCGCCGGTGTTCGTGCGTGCTCATCTCCACCATCGTCCTCGTTCCCACACTGCAGCAGTGCCCCCGTCGATGCCGCGGCCCGGGGCGCCCAGCCCCGCTTTTCCAGACCCCGTCCCCTGGGCTGGACACGCGCACACAACGACTCCGGAGAGCTCAGCTTGGAGTGTGGTGGCCGCTGCGGCCAGAGAAGGGTGCAGACCTGGGGTCGAATCTTGCAGAAATCAGGACCGTGCTGTGGTTACGTCTGCGCGTTAAAGGGAAATTAGAAGTTGGATGAGAGGGGGCATCTCGGTGAGATTGCTTGGAGATCTGCTGCCCTTCACCTGGCTCCACCTGGCCCCTGAGCAGCGGTGCCCTGCGTGCACTGTGAGGCTGCACCCGGCTGGTGGTCTGAGGTGGCGGTCCCGTCGCTGTGGGCCTGGCCTGGTCCTGGGGCCCCGGGGGGAGCGTGACCTGGACCGTTTTCCTGGGGCAGAATTTTAATCAGAATCCAGAAACATCTGTGTTCCGCGTTGACTCTCTCGGTGAAGCCCCGTGTCCTACTAGATGTAACTGTCTTCCTTTTCCCAGCACCCGTGTTCTTGAAGGGTCAGTTGTAACATTCTTGCTGTCTGTCTGAGACCTTGCACTTGCAGGGGGGCGGGAGGGGTGTTCTGGTGGCCCTTGGGAGGATGCCGCCCTGCTTGGGCCTCAGATGAGTTGCCCCAGCACGAGAGTGCTAGGGCATGGCCGCCGCTTCCCGGCACGGCAGGTCTCGCTGCAGCCTGCCCACCCAGCTGCTGCTGGGAGGTGGTCAGGAGGGGAAGCGGCCTGCGATGGTGGGAGGAGCCACTGCCACGCTACCCGTAGGGCCCTGATGCCTCAAGACGCAAGAGAGTGGAGCTGGCTCGGAGGCCCTGGGAGCCAGGGCTGGGCCCTGCACACTGCTCTTGGGATGATGGCTCCCGCGTGTCCTGCACACAGGGCTTGGGGACGGAAGTGTGGGGCCCCACGCATGGGGTTCTTGGCCCCAGGCCGCCAACCTGCTGTGGCGCGTGTCCTGACACAGCTGCCGGGAATGGTGGCCCTGCAGGGTCCCCGCAGCAGGGACAGTGTCAGCATCCTGCAGCCGCTGTGCTGGCCCTTCTGGGTCCCATGGAGGCCGAGGTTTGGCAGGGCCACCGTGTCGTGACACCAGCCTCGGCGCCCGGCTTATGCCGTGGGTGGATGCTCCCACCCTGTGTTCTGGCTGTGGAACAGCGCAACCCTGTGTGTCCCGTGTGCGGTGCTCGTGTGTCCCAAGGGCCGTGTGCACTGGCGGTGACGCTCTCCTGTGTCCGTTAATCCTTCCCACGCGAAGGAAGGGCTGTCCCCCGAGGCACCACCACCACCACCACCCTGTGCGCCTGCCGAGGAGGCCCCTCTTACAGTGCTCCTTGTCCAAGAAAAATAAACGCTGCAACAGTGGCCCGACCATATGTCTGTCCTTGGGGAGTGTCCTGCTGGCCCTGTGGCTCACCACCCTCGGACAGTGGGTGTCGACGTCTGCCCTTTGCTCTGCCTGTTTGATTGCGGGACTCAGGTCTTGTGAGGCCCCCAGCCTCGGCAGTGTGTGGTCAACGCTGCCCCCCGTGTCCTGTGTGCAGTGCCGTGTCTGGGTGTGGCCCAGGGTCCTTCCTGGGACTGGCCTGCCCAGCCACCCTGGGTGTGGGGCCAGAGGATGGTGGACGACACCTGAGGCTTGGACAGTCCTGGGGAGGGTGGGTGGGGCTGAGGCCAGAGGTGGTGTCTCCTTCCAGCCCAGACCTGCCGGGGCCACAGCCGCGCCCCGTCTGGATCCTCAGAGCGTGGGTGTGTTCAGGGCTCACTGCCTGAGGGGTTTGGGAGGCGGAAAAAGCAGTGCTCAGGGACCAGCCTCTGCCTTGACGAGAACCAGTTTATTTGGAGCCTGGATGGTTGGGCGACGGCCTTCTCCAGGGACAAACTGCTGGGATGAGTGTGGATGCGGGCGGCGCTGTCCTGCCGGGCTGGCTGCCGCCCTCGCCTTCCCGCTGTCCCACCCTGCTTCCGCCTTGGCGCTCACCTGGGCCCCTTGCCCACCCGGCCCTGCCTGGGTTCACACTCTGCATCTGATATGGGACGCTCCTCCCTGGTGTCCTGTACCCAGCAGGGCTGCAAGGCTGTGTTCAGGCGCGGGGTGGTTGGACGCGGGGCAGCAGGTGTGGGCAGGGGTTGCTGCCAGCCTTAGCCCCACGTGGCAGGGGCGTGGGTGGCCGGGGCCCTGCCCAGCAGTCCCTCGCCTAGGAGGCCCCAGGGGCTGAGTCCGTGGGCTCTTTGAGGCCAGGCCTTGTGCCTAGGAAGGTGGCTGCTGGCCACCAGCTGGGGGAGGTGTGGGGTGTTGTCCTGCGCGTCACCTGCAGCCTCACTTCTGGGACAGCAGGCCGAAGTCTAGGCCCCACAGCCCTGGGCGCCGCACATGCAGCCGCTGAACACCTGGAGGGTGAGCACCAGCCCCCGGCCGGGCGCGCTGGGGTCGGGGCAGGGCAGCTCCAGCTGCTTCGGGTAGGCGCTGATGGGCCTGCAGCAGCCGCAGGTCGTGACCACCTGTTGCGTGTCCGTGTTGAAGCTGCCGGAAAGGCGGGCCAGTCAGGGCCGGGCTATGCCCCGCCCAGGAGGCCTCCTATGGCGCTGGCCACCCTGCCCGCGGGCGTTGGGGGTGGGGGCGGCACGCGCCTGGGCGAGAGCCCTGCCCTCCGCCCTGCTGTTCTGCCAGGTGAGGTGGGGCCTGAGCCCCTGAGACCCGTTCCCGGGCTCACCTGCTGGAGGAAGCGCAGGCGCCCTCACAGCGGGTCACGGTCACGTTGGCCCTGCAGCCCTGGAACGTGATCTCCTGGTGCTGCTCCCGCAGGCTGCACACCCCTGGGGGTGAGAGGCTGGTGAGAGGAACCCAGGGCGGGCCCCGAGCCCAGGGGCATTACTGGCTGGAGACTGTCCCCACCTGGCTTGGGGGTGCGCTCCTGCTCGAGACGGGCTCCCCAGTGCAGCCTACGAGCGCGGCCCCAGCTCAGCGCTGGAGCAAAGGCAGCAGCCTCACACACGCCACGCCGCAGCCTCAGGCTCAAGCGAGACCTTTCTTACGGGACTTGTCATGGCCCCGCGAGCCACCCTTGGTTTCCAGCCCCCCACCCCGACCTGGACACTGACCTGCAGGCATGGGAGTCTCTGGTCTGCCGGACCCGGGACCTGCAGGGGGACCGAGGGCAGGGAGTCAGTATCCCCAGAGGGCAATGGTGGTGCTGTGGGAGCGCCCTGCACCCTGGCCAGAGGAGGGGAAGTGGAGCTGGCCCCTCGGCCAGAAGATGCCTCGGCACGCGGGTGGCCCAGCCGTGGATGGGGAGATGGTAGAAGCTGCCAGCGTGGACCTCGGGTGTGAAGTTAAGGTTCCCAGGCGATGGCGGGGCGTCCTGCCGTGTGCCCTCCCCAGGCTCCCCACTCATTCCCCAGCAGCAGGAGAGGTGGCCACTAGGAGCCCGCCTGCCTCTCCCGGAGGGCTCCTGCCTCTCCCTGCCCGAAGCCTTCTACAGGAGGGGGCGCGAGCTCAGCGGTCCCACCGGCCCTGCCACCTCAGGTGTCCTCTCGCGGCCTGCCCTCCTGATGGGAGTCCCCTCCCCGGTCACCAGTCTTCACTCAAGGCCTTGCCTCAGGGAAGGGCGCAAACGGATCCTGTCAGCCTGCAATGACAGCTGCCACCCACCGGAGACCCCCAAAGCTGGCGGTGTTCCTGGGACCTCATGCCCGGGGCAGGCCTGGGCACGCAAGAGGGATGGGGGACGTCCCTGGAGCACGGGGCATGTGTTGGCAGCTGCCGCCACCAGGGCAAGACCTGGGGGGTTCTCTCCCCAGGGAGCCCATGGCCTGGGGGCGGGGGATGTGCTTATGGCCAGGGCCCAGCACAGGCACTGATCGGCGGGAGTCCCGATTGCCAGGCTTGGCTCTGCCTTGCCTGATCAGCTGGCAGGGCACAGGTTGCACTGGGCTTTTCCCTCTGTGCACTCAGAGGGGGCTGGTCAGCCCTAACCTCCTCTGGGCACCTGAGGGAGCAGCTGGGAAAGGCTCTTGGGGAAGACTCCCTGAAGGGGGTCCAAGACTGCGGGAGGGACAGGCATAGGGAGCCAGTGCAGGAAACAGGTAGGGGAAGGACTGACGGGCCAGGCAGACACCTGCTTGGGCAGGCTGGTGCCCAGCAGAGGGGAGGGGACAGGACCTGCAGTCATGGCAGGGAAGGCCTGTACCAGGCATGGTGACTGGGCACCCGGGACCGGCGGGCAAGGGAAGACGGGACTGCAGGGGAGATGGTCATCACAGAGGGTCAGGGTGGGCCACAGAGATGCCACTTACTGAGTGAGCTGGGCGTGAGTGTCACAGAGGAAGCTGGGGGGCTCCCCGTGGAGGGAGATCCTGGGGCAGGAACGGAGGTGCTTCCGTGGGAAGTCAGGGTGCTGGTCAGGAGCAGCGTGGTGAGCGACTGAGTGGGCCCAGGGAGCCTGGTAGTGAGGGTGGTGGCTGGAGAACTAGGTATGACTGCGAGCCCTGAGGTGGAGGACGCAACGCCCGGCGTGGGGACTCGGGTGGTGAGCAGGGTGACACGTGATGTGGTGGACAGGGAAGAGAAGGCGGAGGAGGTGGGGGCGCTGACTGTCGTCCTGGGAGTGGCCGAAGAAGATGCAGCACTGGTGGCTGGTTGGCGGGAGGGGGTGGGAGATATGGGGAGAGTGACCGTGGGGGACGGGGCAGAGGGGCTGAAGGGTGGGGTGACATGGGGGGAGAGGGAGGCCCGAGTTGGAGTGGAGGCAGTGAGGGGGGAGCGGGTAGAGGATGCAGCTGTGAAAGTGCCCGCAGGAAACGAGGAAGGTGAGGGGTGGACGCTCGAACTCAGCGTCGCTGTGTGCGCGGGAGCAGACACTGCGGAGGAAGACGCGCGAGTGGGGGAGAAGGGTGTCCAGGAAGAAGAGTGAACGGAGGGTGTGGAAGGAGAAACAGAGGAGGGAAGCGAACCCGAAGGCGGCGGGGAGGTTAAGAAAGGCGGAGTGGGTGGAAACGGAGAGGGAGACGGAGGAGGGGCCACGGTGGTGACAGGACTCGGGGGACGGGGAACTGAAGTGGAAGCCGACAGCGGAGGGGGACTGTGGGAGGAGAAAGGGAGGGGCGACGAGGAGGAGGAGACTGAGGTTCTGGCTGTGCTGTGTGTGGTCCTACTGGTGGTCCCCGTCAATGGCGGGGCTGTGTGTGGCGGTCCGGTGGTCGTGAGCCTGGAAGTTGGAAGGATGGTGCCCGTGGGCCTCAGATGGGTAGAGGATACGGTTGTGGTCTCCTGGCGTGTTGGGGTGATGTGAGAAATGGGAGTCACCGAGGAGGTGGACAGCGGTGGCCGGATAGTGGTCAGCGTTGTCCGAGGGTGAGATGGGGTTGGATAGGTCATGGTGGTCTTGAAGGATGTTCCAGAAGGGGGTCCTGTGGTGTGAGGTGCCGTGGGTGGAGAGTGTGTGGTCATTGGTATGCGTGGACTTGTGCTTGTGGCCGAGGTGCTGTGTGCTTCAGGGGTCCCCGTTCCTCTCAAGGTGGTCTTGGGGGTGATGGTGGTGGCGTAAGCAGAGGTGGGTTCAGGGTGCGAAGTGGAGGAAGAGTGTGACTCAGTGGCAGTCGAGGTTCTGGCTGTGCTGTGTGTGGTCCTACTGGTGGTCCCCGTCAATGGCGGGGCTGTGTGTGGCGGTCCGGTGGTCGTGAGCCTGGAAGTTGGAAGGATGGTGCCCGTGGGCCTCAGATGGGTAGAGGATACGGCTGTGGTCTCCTGGCGTGTTGGGGTGATGTGAGAAGTGGGAGTCACCGAGGAGGTGGACAGCGGTGGCCGGATAGTGGGCAGCGTGGTCCGAGGGTGAGATGGGGTTGGGTAGGTCATGGTGGTCTTGAAGGATGTTCCAGAAGGGGGTCCTGTGG